ACGCTCGGGGTGTTGTATTACAGTGATAATAATGCAATTATACGATTAGCGTGTGTTTTTCATTGAAATGACTAAAGTGTATTAAGATAATGTATTATTTGGAGATAAAGTGTTGAGTGAATACTAGATATTAATAATCTACAGTACTTCGATAGGGCAGTGGTTAATGCGCTAGGTTTAGTAAGGGTTATTAACAGAGGTCGGAATTATGTAGAGTTATTTATGTACTTGCATCGAAATGTTGATATTAATGTGGATCTTCCCGGGATTTCTAATGGACAATCTTGGACATCTTTGGACATCCGATGTCATTGATGTAAGTTTGGCAACGTCGTGCGTGCAGTAGTTTGAATTGTGTAAAAGTAAATAACTTTTTATTAAAAAAATCACGGGATTTTTTCTGCTCTTTAAAATTAATCTAGGGATTTGAGGCATATCCACTTTATTATTTCGCTGTATGAAATCAGTGTAAGTACATGAATAACTCTACCTAATTCCGACCACTGGTTATTAAGCATCTTTCGAAATGGGCGGGCGTAGGATGGATGACCATTTTTTATTTCATCATCACCAGCCCTTTATTTTGTCCTCACTGCAGGGGCTCAGGCCTTCCTTATGGATGGTTACGGAGCATGGGCCGTGACCATCCACGCGAGCCCAATGCGGATTGGCAAGCATTAAAGACTACGCTGCCGCGAGCAACGGCTTAAAGCACATTGCGAAGCGCGGAGTAGCTCGAGATAATAATTATTTGGTCACCCATCCCGTGACCGACCATTTCGAAAGGTGCTTAACGACAACGATAGCGGGCCGCGGCGCTTATCCACTACGCCACTGAGCTACTTATTTAAGGCAGAGGAAATGCAACCTTACAGCTAAAACCAGAGCTCTCCGACCCCGGACCCGTCCAGAGAAGGACAGGCTTAAGCGTGGCCGGCCTACCTGGTGTAACCCACTACGAGTACCCTCCGGGAGGGGGAAGGACCCGGGATCCAACGAGGAGCCCGCTTTCTAGCCCCACAAGGATGGGTGACCTAATATAATATTATCATATTAGCAAGTAGCCCTAGTATTTTCAAAAGACAAGTACTAGATACCTTGCCCAAATAATATATATAAGTGGCGGGTCAACGTAGATTGTTTGAAAAATGACTATTTCCTGTAATTTTTTTTGTTGGATTTCAGTCATTTTCATTGTCGCTATGATAAATAAAACCAAAATTTGTGAAAAAAGTCGTGTTAGTAATTTTGCGTGAATGAAATGAAGGTTTTTCGACTTGATGTCTTTTTTTTATGCCTTCCGTAGCTAAAATGAGATGGATTCTTAAATATAGTCTCTTGTGATTGGCTCACAAACACGATAAAAAAATATTCCAGGCTTATATCGAATTATTTCCGTTATTCTTGTATTTGTATCAGGCTAAATATACAACATCGTGACCTACTTTGGGCGCTTGCAAAAATTATTATAATTTTTAGTACAATAAAGTAACTCCGTAGTAATAACAAAATAAAATGAAATGAAAATGTAAGACTTTTGTAATAATCGTTTATATTTTTTAAAACAATGGAATGAATTGTCATAATAAAAAGTAAATCTACTTATGTCATAGACATAAATAAAAAGTAAATCTACTTTATGCCGCAATTTATGTCTATGTACTATGACATACATAGACATAAATTGCGGCGGCCGAAATAGCTAACTTATAAATTGATAACATCACAACAAAACATATATATATTCTACGTAAACAAAAATTACTGGTTATATAAATAATCTTTGAACTAGAAACAATAAATTCATTTTTTTCTAACAAAACACACAACACATTTTAATTCATGTTTCAATAGGTAAAAAAGCAAATTTTGAAATAGCCCGACAATGCAATTTTTTATCAGAAGTTTGCAATTCAATAACTCGTACTTTGTGATCTGTGCCCGGAAAGATTCTAACAATTCTACCCATAGGCCATTGAAGAGGAGGGGTGTTGGGGTTTCTTAGTAAAACTAACATTCCTTCTTTGAGATTAGAACAATATTTTTGCCACTTTGTTCTCTTATTTGTCTAGTTTGTTCAGAAAATTTGTCTAATTTGTTCACAAGAACGCCAAAAATGTAATCTATTTGAACAAATATCAGTGAGATTTGGTTGTGGTATAGAAGTTAACATGGAACCAATTAAATGTCCAGGCGTTAAAAATTAAAAATCAGATATGTCATGTGATAAAGGAGTTATAGGTCTCGAATTTAGAATACTCTCTATTTCAATTATAATTGTGTTAAATTGCTCGTAAGTAAAAACTCCCCTCTACGAGCAATAAATCGTTTCATAGCAAATAAAAATGAGTCAGTGGACATATCAGATACTACTTCCATATGCACGGCTTTAGTTTTAAAACATACAAAAACCGAAACATAACTTTGGTAGACAGTTCCTTTTTGACACTTTTTGACATTATCTTATCAAATCTACCTGACATCTGACATCATTTACTGGACGAGAGTAACAACTCGTTCAATAAGTATTTTTCTGTAATATTGAAGGTCAATATAGATAGAAAATGGATAGAATATGAATAAATGTATTGTCAAAAAAGTATAATTTCTGATATCAATTTTTTGTTTGTTTCTCTGTTGTTTGTATCTTATAAATACATAGTTTAATAAACATGTGTTTTGCCTTTCCAAAGTAATGTCAATTGTTCTGTAAAATTGTAAGATTTTTAATAGGGATGACGACTGGGTAAAAATAATGCAATTCTATTTAGTCCGTCAGTCAGATAATAGAAAAATATTAGATACGTATTTTGTTTTACTCCAATTTAACAAGAAATAGCTTAGATAACAGGCATTAAAGTTGAGGAGTGGGGGCTCGCTACGTCACAGTTGAGTAGAAAACGTACTCTAACGTGACGTCATGCGAAATTTCAACTCAATGTAACGCCGTAATTTTATGATTACGAAAATAATAAAAAAATACGTGTTTAATATTTTTTAACACTCTACCCGACGGACAAACAAACAAAAATTAGTCATCATCCCTATTCTAGTTAAAAGCTCTCCTATGGATTTTAGAAAACTTAGTGTGCGACCACTTTTAAGCTATTTTGTTTTGACCATGATGTGGTGAACGGTGTTGGTGTACAATTATATCTCACCTGTTTATTTTTGTAATGTCAATGTGAATTGTATCACTGTTTGTTTACCCCTGAAAATAAATATTATCTCTTACTGCTCCGTACTTCATTCAAGGCTTGAAACCGGTTCAGAATAAACCGGTTTTATTTAGGTAAAACCTGTTCTATTATAATGTTCCATTCCGGATCGGAACTAAATGCGGAGTGAAATTCGGATAGATTAAAAACCGGTTAATTCGCTTGGTTCGTAAAAAGCAATGTTCTTACGCTTTTGATGCGAATTATATCATTTATAAGCGACGACATTTATCATACCTATGTACGGATGTTATAGATAGGAGTTTAGGTACTTAAAAACCGCGCTGAAGTGTGTAAGATCATTGTCTGGAGTCATATTTAAACCGGTTGGTGAACCGGTTTAAAAACCAGTTCAAAGGAGCTGAACCTTTTATGTAACGTTTCGCATGTACTTACGTCGAATCGGTTAAAAAAATAAACCGGTTTCCAAGCCCTGACTTCATTTATTTATTCATCATCACACAAAACATAAAGATATTGTTGAGACTTGCTGTAGTTTTGTTGTTGTTAGTTCAACAAACAACTAATAGCAACAAAACTAACTCACCTAGTTGTAATTGTTTTCAGAACTGCTGTTAAATATTACAATAAAAAATGCTTAGACCTGCTATGGCATAAATATTCTATTTATAAAAACTATTTCACTGTAATATTATTGTAATTCTATTGATTTCCATAATTTTTAAAAAACCTTCTCTATGCTCACTTCCATAAAGTTTCCTTTTTCCTTTATACAAAAAAAAAAGAAAATTATTCAACGATTCGTTCGTGTAATCGTGTTGCATTTACGTAACTCCATCTAATGAGGAAGAATTAAAAAAAAAAACGAAAGCGCTAAAAAGTACCTCCACTAGATGGCGACTCTAGCAAAAGTTGATGTTTGCAGGAAACGAATGGACCAAAGACAGTCATTTTCGTTCCTATTAACTAACATATTATAAAACTGAAATTTGCAAAGTTCGAAACTTATCAATACAAATACGAAAAAGTACAAATAGAATATTAGTTGTTTATTGAGTTTTGAAAACTAATTTACTTTTAAACATGAAAGAAAATCGTAAAGGTTGTTATGGAGAAATCAAGAACGTACCGTGGCGACATCTAGTTTGATTTCGGGAACTAATGTTTTTTTTTATACTTCCTCATCTATTTTATTCTCTTTGGTCATGTTATCGGCGATTTTGGCTATTTAAACTGTTACAATTATTGTGTTAGTTAAAATGGAGTTAGGACTTGGACACTACCTCTTATAACAGACAATCTTCACGTATGTGATTCGATAATTTTCATTTTTTTTTTGTTGAACAAACAAAATAGGACTCTCTGAAATAGGTCTGCCGGGGCAGCAGAAATAAAATGCGATATCTTTGCAAACCATTTTTATTCTTTTTACAAAAAAAACAATCAATGACAACAAGCTGAACACATAAGATTAAAATAGTAACATTTAATTTATTGTACCTATTTCTATTAATGTTATAACTGTTGGTATTTTTCGTAATATTTCGAATTAGCATTTCACGTTTCGAAATACGCCATTTTGTCTCTCAGTTTTTTTTTTGTACAACGTAATCAGTGATTACTAATCACAAATAACAGTTCTTAAATCGTTCCCTGAATCAGTATTTGAATCATTAATAACTATTACTTTCGTAATTTGTATTTTTTTAATTAATCGATAAATTACATTAATATATATTTTTTATTATATATTGTAATGTTTTATAGTCTTTACTGAAATGCACATACTTTAATGGATTGTTTTCACCATTTGTTTTACTTTCAATTCTGATAATAGTCGCAGCAGCATTTTTCTGAGGAATCATAGTAGTAATCAGATTCATAGGAATCAGGTGAACCTTCGGTTACTTCAGTTTGAGTGTTGCTTTTAGCGATAGTAGAAGTTGCCGATTTACTTTGATTGGTGCTAGTATAAGAACCGGTTGTAGAAGTAGTACTTGTGTTGGTTGTTGTGCCTTCTTTATTGGTGTTCACACTAGTGTTGGTACCACTGTTGGCGAATGTTCCAGCGTCGGTTGTGCTATGGCTTGTACTGATATAAGACCCGGCATCGGAGTTGCTATTAGTATTAGTGGTGACGCCATTTTTATTCCTATTCACATTGGTGTTAGTGTTAGCGTTAGAGTAGGCACTAGCAGCATTAATGGTCTGACTGGAGCTAATGTAAGTGCCAGTATTCGTATTTGTGCTCGTGTCGACTGTACTGCCTTCCTTATTTACATTAATGTTAGTGCTGGCACCGGAGTTGGCGTATGTACCGGCGTCATTAGTAGATTTAATGTTTGTAGTGTACGATCCAGTGTTTGAATAAGTATTTGTGTTAGCGTTAGTTCCGCTTTTATTTATATTCACGTTGCTGTTGGCTCCAGAGTTCGCGTATGCACCTGTATTAGTATCAGTGGCTGTACTGCTTGTGTAAGTTCCGCTATTGGAATTACTATTTGTGTTTATGGTTTGACCATTCTTATCCGTTTTCACGTGGCTGTTAGAAGCAGAGTTAGCGTATGCCCCAGCATTATTCTTAATGTCACTAGTAGTCGCGTAAGATCCAGAATTTGAATTGGAGTTTGTTGTAATTGTAGTGCCTCTGTTATTAGTGTGGACATGACTGTTGGCTCCAGAGCCAGAATATGCTCCAGTGTTGGTGGTAACGTGGTCGGTGTTAGTGTAAGAACCAGCGTTAGAGTTGGAGTTCGTGTTGGAAGTAGTGCCGTCTTTGTTAATAATCACATTGGTGCCACTTGCGGCGTTGGAATATGCGCCAGTATCAGTGTTAGTGTCATCGGTGCTACTATATGAACCAGCGTTGGAATACGCGTTGGTGTTAACGGTGGTACCGCTCTTGTCGGTTCTGACGTAACTATTACCTCCAGTGTTAGAATATCCACCGCTGTTACTGCTCGAACCACTGGTATTGATGTTTGAATCGGAATTAGCGTTTGTGTTTGTAGTAATGACTTTGTTGGTGTTAGTATTAAAGCTCGGTTTGGGATTGGTTTTGATGTTGTTGTTGGTACTTGTGATAGTGTTACCGGACACCGTGCGCTTTCTTAATGATGTTCTGCCGGATGATTCATTTACATCTTCTGTAGTTCCGTCGTTATTATCTGTTGTTTTAGATATCGTCCTAGCATATCCGTTGTCAGTTGCCAAGTCGACGGCTTGCTGTGTGCCCTTTTGATTACTTACGTTTTCTGTTCTTCTCCGGATCGACGAATCAGTTGCTGAGTTATCATGAGTTTCCGTAGTTCCTTCGCGTGTTTTAATAACATTAGAGAGATCTCTTGTATTCGCATCCTTAGAAAACTCGTCAACGACTTGATGGGAACCTCTTTTATTTATATCTGACAAAACTATTTTTCTTCTTTGCGATATGTTAGAAGAGTCGTCACGATTTTCAGTTATTCCTCCGCGTGTCTTGATTGTTTGTGATATTTTTCTTGTGTTATCATCGTTTGATTGTTCGTCGACTATTTGACGGTTGCCTCTTTTATCAATGTTGGACAAAGTTATTTTCCTCCTAGACGATTTATCGGAGGATTTATCGTTACCCTCTACGTATCCGTATCGTGTTTTAGTGATTTGAGATATGTCTCTGGTATTAGAATCATTCGACTGCTCATCCACATTTTGACGAAAGCCTTGTCGGTCTTGGGAGGTGGTTGTGATTCTTCTATTTTTAGAATCATTTGTAGATTGGTCACGTTTTTGACTATGGCGATCTTTAGAGTAAATGTCTCGAGTAGATTTATTGTCAGATTGTTCATCTACAGACTGTTGTGCTCCTTTACTGTCACTAGAAGTATTAGTTATTTTCCTCATATTAGATTCATTGCCAGACTTATCGCTTTGTATTTTATCTCCTTGCTTGTAATAAATGTCTCGAGTAGATTTATTGCCAGATTGTTCATCTACAGTCTGTTGTGCTCCTTTGCTGTCACTAGAAGTATTAGTTATTTTCCTAATATTAGACTCGTTTCCAGACTTATCGCTTTGTATTTTATCTCCTTTCTTGTAATAAATGTCTCGAGTAGATTTATTGTCAGATTGTTCATCTACAGTCTGTTGTGCTCCTTTTCTGTCACTAGAAGTATTAGTTATTTTCCTAATATTAGATTCATTGCCAGACTTATCGCTTTGTATTTTATCTCCTTGCTTGTAATAAATGTCTCGAGTAGATTTATTGCCAGATTGTTCATCTACAGTCTGTTGTGCTCCTTTGCTGTCACTAGAAGTATTAGTTATTTTCCTAATATTAGACTCGTTTCCAGACTTATCGCTTTGTATTTTATCTCCTTTCTTGTAATAAATGTCTCGAGTAGATTTATTGTCAGATTGTTCATCTACAGTCTGTTGTGCTCCTTTTCTGTCACTAGAAGTATTAGTTATTTTCCTAATATTAGATTCATTGCCAGACTTATCGCTTTGTATTTTATCTCCTTGCTTGTAATAAATGTCTCGAGTAGATTTATTGCCAGATTGTTCATCTACAGTCTGTTGTGCTCCTTTGCTGTCACTAGAAGTATTAGTTATTTTCCTAATATTAGACTCGTTTCCAGACTTATCGCTTTGTATTTTATCTCCTTTCTTGTAATAAATGTCTCGAGTAGATTTATTGTCAGATCGTTCATCGACAGTCTGTTGTGCTCCTTTGCTGTCACTAGAAGTATTAGTTATTTTCCTAATATTAGACTCGTTTCCAGACTTATCGCTTTGTATTTTATCACCTTTCTTGTAATAAATGTCTCGAGTAGATTTATTGTCAGATTGTTCATCTACAGTCTGTTGTGCTCCTTTTCTGTCACTAGAAGTATTAGTTATTTTCCTAATATTAGATTCATTGCCAGACTTATCGCTTTGTATTTTATCTCCTTGCTTGTAATAAATGTCTCGAGTAGATTTATTGTCAGATTGTTCATCTACAGACTGTTGTGCTCCTTTTCTGTCACTAGAAGTATTAGTTATTTTCCTGATATTGGACTCGTTTCCAGACTTATCGCTTTGTATTTTATCTCCTTTCTTGTAATAAATGTCTCGAGTAGATTTATTGTCAGATTGTTCATCTACAGACTGTTGTGCTCCTTTTCTGTCACTAGAAGTATTAGTTATTTTCCTAATATTAGATTCATTGCCAGACTTATCGCTTTGTATTTTATCTCCTTGCTTGTAATAAATGTCTCGAGTAGATTTATTGCCAGATTGTTCATCTACAGTCTGTTGTGCTCCTTTGCTGTCACTAGAAGTATTAGTTATTTTCCTAATATTAGACTCGTTTCCAGACTTATCGCTTTGTATTTTATCACCTTTCTTGTAATAAATGTCTCGAGTAGATTTATTGTCAGATTGTTCATCTACAGTCTGTTGTGCTCCTTTTCTGTTACTAGAAGTATTAGTTATTTTTCTAATATTAGACTCGTTTCCAGACTTATCGCTTTGTATTTTATCTCCTTGCTTGTAATAAATGTCTCGAGTAGATTTATTGTCAGATTGTTCATCTACAGTCTGTTGTGCTCCTTTGCTGTCACTAGAAGTATTAGTTATTTTTCTAATATTAGACTCGTTTCCAGACTTATCGCTTTGTATTTTATCACCTTTCTTGTAATAAATGTCTCGAGTAGATTTATTGTCAGATTGTTCATCTACAGTCTGTTGTGCTCCTTTTCTGTCACTAGAAGTATTAGTTATTTTCCTAATATTAGACTCGTTTCCAGACTTATCGCTTTGTATTTTATCTCCTTGCTTGTAATAAATGTCTCGAGTATATTTATTGTCAGATTGTTCATCTACAGTCTGTTGTGCTCCTTTGCTGTCACTAGAAGTATTAGTTATTTTTCTAATATTAGACTCGTTTCCAGACTTATCGCTTTGTATTTTATTTCCTTGCTTGTAATAAATGTCTCGAGTAGATTTATTGTCAGATTGTTCATCTACAGTCTGTTGTGCTCCTTTGCTGTCACTAGAAGTATTAGTTATTTTCCTAATATTAGACTCGTTTCCAGACTTATCGCTTTGAATTATATCACCTTTCTTGTAATAAATGTCTCGAGTAGATTTATTGTCAGATTGTTCATCTACAGTCTGTTGTGCTCCTTTGCTGTCACTAGAAGTTGCAGTTACTTTTCTTATATTAGATTCATTCGCGGATTTGTCACTTTGCACGTTAGTACCATCGCTATAATAGCTATCTCTAGTTGATTTATCATTTGACTGTTCGTCAACATGTTCTTGTGCGCCATCGTCGTCGCTACTTGATATTACTACTTTTTTGCTGGACGATTGGTTGGATGAGCTGTTACGTGTCACGGTTGATTTTTTGCTTGAGTGACTCGTGGACTTGTGTGATGACTGACGGTTTGAACTCACAGATTCGGTTTGTGAGGACGATGGTCCTATTGTAAATTAATTGAGTTTCTTTAATTATTTTTATAGCATTTCATATACAGGGTTATAAGTGAAATGTTATGAACGTAGCATGGCTAGATAGATAGCATCGTAAACGTTCATAAAATGGCTATTTGACACTTATGAAAATCTTACTAATATTATTTGATAAGACTGTTCGGATGTTTGTTACTTCTTCACGCAAAAACTACTGGACAAACTTTCATGACATTTCGTATACGGATAATTCTCAGCCTTAATAAACATATAGGCTACTTTTTATCACACTGCCTTAGGGATAAAGGTACTGCCAATCTACGCTTGCAAAACTGCTGGCGGAAAGGTAGTAGTAAATTTGTAAATGATTAAATAAATTGTGAGTATATTTTATTTTTGCAGTTTTAAGTAAGGATAAGTAAAGAGTCCGAAAGTACTAGACCGATTTAAGAAATTCTTTCACCTACGGGAAGCTACATCATACGCGCATAATAGACAATAATTTAACGAGCGAGCAAATAAATGGGGACACAGCTAGTATCTACTACGTAAATACTTCAGACAACACACGAGCGTAGCGTTCAAAGTTCAAAGTATAGTTACGTCATATCATAGGATGTTTATGTTACCTTTTCAGAAATGTTTCAAAAAATAACCCTGTATATAAGCGTTAAATTGCCTTTTCCATTACTTTCAATATAGCTATAGTATAAGATGAGAATCGCCTTCGGATCGGATACGGAAGTTAAGCAACTATTGCAACGGCATATCATGGGATGGGTGAACAAAAATTTATTATTTCTAACCCCATTCTTCGGAAACCACTTTCCCAATAATTTGGAAGTTATTTCTTTATATGAAATCAGTTTAGTTAAGGATTAAAGGTGCACGAACTTGATATTAATTAATTTGGTCACACATCTGGAAATTGACCTTCCCATAAGTTGCTTAACTTTTGTGATCGGAATAGTTTTTAAATTTACTATAAACATACCGTCTGTGAAGTGGCCATTATAGTCTGGTGAATAATAAACTGGAAGATGTCCACCATAATCTGTTGTTCCTGGACTTGGATCTACCTGTGTGGGATCTGTAAAATTAAATTCATTCATAATTCACCATGTCAATGTGGTGGCCAGATCGTAGATTGTACCAGTTCATGATGCGTCCGGCAATTTCATGAAATGGTCATATTTCTTGAAATGGAAATATGTTTTTGCCCACATCATGATGCCAGGCTAATTGATAATTAATTTGCGTTTAAAGAAAAGAGTGGTTGATCTTATAAATGTTTCATAATATGGCCAAACATTAGTGGTCACATCGAAAACCACTACTCTCAGTAATTACCATCAGCGCGCTAGTGTCGAATTATTTTTGTAATATTATGTATTTTATATTTTAGGTTATACATGAAATTAAAGAACGTAGGATGACCAAGCAACGGAAAACAATTACTTGATTAAGTTTGAGATAATTGTAGGAGTGTAGTGCGAATGTGTGCTGTTATAGTTTTATGGATATGTCGCAAGATTATGATAAAGACAGAATTTTGATCTACCTCCAAAGGATGATAAAAGTAGATTGGAGGATATAAAAGTTTTTAAGATGTGAACTGAATCAAATTTCCTATATGATTCACAACTGCAGTCATGTACTTATCGTTAGAAAATGTATGACGTTCGCGAAGCATAGCGTAGCGATGGTATTAAATTTCGAGGCTATTTTGCTGTCAGATCATAACGCTAACGTATGAACTAGCTATTTCGGCAAATAATTAAATTTCTGTTTTGAACACCCTACATTAATAGTATGACCAAACGTAAATTGCTATATCAATTAACGTTGACGCTTAAACGATGATAAATTTTTGGTGGCCATTTCTTGAAATACAACCATTTCATGAAATGGCCAGCCGGGTCATGAAATTATCAATTCTATAATATAGCCACGACATTTAAATAAAGCAGGTTTCCGCAACCTTCCTTGTGTTGAGGCTCCCAGGATTATCTACTAATATTATAAAGAAAAGATTTATTGTTTCTTAGACAGATATCTTTGAAACGATTGTTATTGAAATTAATAATTTTTTTATGGTAACAGAGAATATTATTGTTATTATAATATAAAACAATGAGGAAGTATTAAAAAAAAACGAAAGCACTAAAAAAGCACCTCCACTAGATGGCGACTCTAGCAAAAGTTGACTTTTGCAGGAAACGAATGGACCAAAGACAGTAATTTCCGTTCCTTTTAACTAACATATTAAAGAACTGAAATTTGACACTTAGATATCAATACAAATACGAAAAAGTACAAATAGAATATGACTTGTTTATTGAGATTTGAAAATTAATTTACTTTTAAAAATAAAAGAAAACCGGAAGGATTGTCATGGAAAAATCAAGAACGTACCGTAGCGACATCTAGTTTGGTTTCGAGAACTAATTTTTTTTAAGCTTTATACTCACGGTATTCAGTGTAATCCTGACCACTGGAGTCATCATACTGTCCACTGTCTAGGTTGTATGACGAATCATCGGAATCTTGTACAACTGTTAACATAAACAATGAATATGTAAACAAAAAAATATCGCCAGTACTTTTATTTACAAGCAAAAACTATGAATACTATCTTTTAGGTACCTCATACTCTTCAATGTAAGATATACTCACTGAGTAGCTCAGTAGCGTAGTGGATAAATGATTATCTCGAGCTACTCCGTGCTTCGGAAGGCTCGTTAAGCTGTTGGTATCAGCTGCATTTGCAGTCGTTAATACCCTAAAGTCCACATTGGGGCGACGTGGAAGATCATGGCCTCCTTAACCATCCATAAGGAAGGTCTGAGCCCCTGCAGTGACGTAATATATATAGATATGATGATGATATACTTACATGGCAGACCATGGACAGCCACCAAAGCCTGAGAAATAATTAATCAATCATTTATATTTAATACAGTGCTATTAAGGTTTAGTGTCAGAATAAGTTTACCCTAAAATTCCAATATCAGTCCAAATTCATATTATACAGAGAATAAGCAAACCTACTACCTTCTAAGAGTAAATATAACTCCCGTAGAACCTCGTACTAGGTAAATCTTTGCCAAGTCTCTGTTTAATAATATGAATTTTGACTAATACTAAGTGTAGTCTCAGCGTAAATTTACTCAAACGATAAGCCTTGTTTATTAATAACACTGTTAAGGTTTACATGATTAGAGATATAATATTATTTCCATGGCTATAGACATGGTTATAAGCTCATAATGTTAAGTGTTGTTATTCACAATTCCAGCTAGCTCTTTAGGTTTTATTCAATTATTTATTACTGGTGTATTAAAGCTATTATTACGTCAAACTAAATCTTTGACGTATAAAATTAATTGTTTCAATTATTTAATTACATACTATTTAACCAGCTAACTAAACATTAATACAGACAATGATGTAGCGGGCAATTTTAATGATCTTTTCTTTGTTTTAAACGATTATATTATTAAAAGTCATTATTTAAGATTCGTAACAAAAATGAGAGTAACACAAATACAAAGGACGGATCGAGCGAGTGTAACGAGTCCTTTATAACAGCGAGCCGAACACAAAGTCAAAGTCAAAATAATCTTTATTCAAATAGACTTCTTAAAAGTATTTTTGAATCGTCCAACATTTTTTTCTACCTCTCGTCCGGGACGTCTTTTGGCTGATAAAAAGAACGAGCAAGAAACTCACCAACTCTAATAGGAGTAATGACATTTACAAAAACCAGATCAATGCATTATAAATAAAGAGAGAAAATAAAAAATATAATAATGATAACATAATCATTTAATAATAATGGAAGCAAGATAATTTTTGATATATAATGAGTTTAGAAATAATCACCTATCCATTTGCTGGATCATCTCAAGTCCAAACATTCTTATCTGTTATATAACCGGATACCTTATAATAAGCTTTTTAATAAGTATTTTTTTAATAGTAGATTTAAACTGCATGATATCTAATTGTTGTATTTTGCTTAGGACCTTATTGTAGAAGCGCACACAAAGACCCCTGAATGAGTTATTAACTTTTTGCAGTCTAGTGTCAGGCACCGTTAATTTATTTTTATTTCTTGTATTAAAATGTGCACATCAATTTTTATAGAAAACAAACTAATATTGTTACGAACGTACATTAAGTTCTCGTATATGTATTGAGAAGCAACAGTCATTATGTCTATTTCCTTATATTTCTCCCTTAAAGAGTCCCTAATCCTAAGATTATAAAATGATCTAATTGCTCTTTTCTGAAGCATAAAAATCGTTTGTATGTCGGCAGCAATCCTCGCAATAGGATTCCGTACGACATCACACTATGAAAGTAACTGAAGTATACTAATCTGGCAGTATCTATGTCAGTTAACCTACGTATCTTCATTACGGCATAAGCTGCAGAGCTAAGTCTACTCGATAATTTATTAGATATGTGGGCCCCACTGCAGTTTAGAATCTAATGTTATTCCCAAAAATACTGTAGTATCCGCAAGGCCCATGTTCTTATCTTTTATATTAACATTTATATCTACTTTTTTAACATTAGGTAGTACAAATTTTAGGCATTGACATTAAACCAATGTACTACTTTAGCGATAGAATTGTTCACATCGACATTTAGAGGTGGCCTTTTTTAATTTTAAACAAAAGTGAAGTGTCTCGTGAAACTATCTCGTGAAACTATCTCGTGATCATCCCTTGCGAAATAAGGCAAGTCATTTATGTAAATTAAAAACAAGAAAGGACCAAGTATTGAGCCCTGTGGAACACCCATCGTAACTTTCGATCCAGGGGATCTTTTGCCATTGATATCAACCTTCTGTACTCTATCAGTCAAGTATGAGACAATAAAATCCAATGAGTTATCTCTAAATCCATAATAATGAAGTTTCCTAATCAATGTTTCATGAAAAACACGATCACATGCCTTAGATAGGTCGCAGAAAACGCCTAACGCATCATGTGAACCCTACAGGGCATTAAAAATTTCTTGTATTAACTCGACACCGGCTTCGGTTGTTGAACCAAATTGTGGTCGATTGATAAGGTTATTCTTGTAAAAGTATGTTTGTATATGATCCAGCATGATTTTTTCAAAAATCTTACTTTAAAGTAAGTAGAATGGATATAGGTCTAAAATTATTAGATGTGCTACCCGATTTATCTAAAGGAATAATTTTACTATATTTCATGAGCTCAGGAAAAATACCACAATCAGTACATTCATTAAATATATAAGCTAAGATTGGAGCTATTGTCTCAATTGCCGATTTAGAAACTTTAATGGAATTACTAAATCAGCGATTTTCTTTTTCTTATTAAAAGATTTTAATATATCTTTAAAATCAATGTATTGAAACTTGAATTGGCTATTACAATTATTTAAACTTGCCTTTAAAATAGATTCAGTAAGAGTGGAAGAGGAATTCAGAGATTGTGTAATTAAGACTGTATTTCAGTAAATAAATTTTCAAATACTGTAGCAACTTCAAGATCTAATGTTACTTTTTTATTCTCAATGCTTAAATTAAAATTTATATTCCGTGATTTTTCACTTTCAGTTTAACTATTTATGATATTATCTAACTATTTAACTTTATCTTTACTATTTTTAATTTTTGGATTTAAATAATTACATTTGGCTAAACGACAGACTTTTTTAAATAATTTAGAATAATTTCGTATCTATTCTTTGAAGTTGTTATAATTACGTTCACAGATACTGAGGATGGGTCGAGCGAGTGTAGCGAGTCCCTTACAACAGCGCGCCGAACACATATACTGAGGTCGGGTCAAATGAGTGAAGTGAGTCCCTTACAACAGTGAGCCAACCACAAATACTGAGGACGGGTCGAGCTAGTGAAGCGAGTTCCTTCCAACAAGTTGTTCACAAAACAAAAAGTGAATCTTATTTACTACTTTAAAACATTCATATATATTGTGTCTATCAATCTTGACACAATTCCTTACTATATTTTAACAATTTTGCGTGCACAATGCTATACTGAAAATT